CTGGCCCCATCCCCGCCTCTTCGACCTGTTTGTTTCCTCTCCACCTATCCTCTCCTCTATCCCTCTTCTATCCGCCTCCCACTCTCTCCCTATTTATTTCAAAACCCCCTTCCCCTCCCCCTTTTCTGATGAAGGGTCTAGGCCCGAAACGTCAGCCTCTCTGCTCCTATGATGCTGCTTGGCCTGCTGTGTTCATCCAGCCCTGCACCTTGTTGTCTCGGATTCTCCAGCTTCTAGAATGGAGTTTGTTTTGCAAGACAGCCTAGTATTCAGAAATTCAATTTGGACACTGAGTTCAAATCAGCATTTACGAGCAATCATGTGATTTATGTTAAATGACCAGCAAGCCACTTGGTCAGACAATTGTGAGTTTGTTTGCTGATTTATGTTGTACAATCATCAGAGAGGGATGAGGCTAGATACAATCTCATGCAGGGGAAAGAGGTCCATAATAGTAGAAATGCAGTCTCTGAGCAAACAGCACTGGGGAGAAGTCCTGACAAGCTTTGAGGTTAGTGAGGAGAAAAAGTTCCCGAAGCAGAATGCAGTGAGGATGCCAGAAAGTAAAATATCCTACAGAGCTGCTGAAGACATAAATTTGGGGAACCCATCTTAAGTAATTTCAAGCTAAGTTGTCAATTTGTTTTAAGGGTCTCAAGCAGAAATATTCCTGGAAGAAAACAGCATCTAGTAAAAGTGCAGGAATTTAAAGAAAGACACCAATTCAGCCATGCGAACAAAAGCCTTTGCGTTAAAATTGAGGTAATTCTTCAAAAATATCTGGGTGTCTGTAAGGGTGTTGCTGGTACCAAAAAAAGAAGCTGGTTTCTAGCTTATGTTGAGGACTACAAGTAATGGGAATGAGGGTGGTCTGCAGCCATAGAGCAGTATCTGAGGAAACAAAGCCCTCTACTACAGTGTTCCCACCATTCTCAATGAGCTGGCCACCAACATTCCGCAATGTCCTTCCTTGGGCTGTCTCCCTTACGGATCCCTCCTTAATGCAGTTACAATAAAGCTTATTTAAAATGACTGCAAAAGCAATCTTTCTTTCTGATGTTTGAAATTAATTTATTCAATGGTTCAGCTGAGAACAGACAGAACATTGTGAGAGAAAGGTTGACAGTGAGTGTTCCAGTGGGTAAAGGAACACAAGCCTAAACAGCTTCTGGAAACTGTTGCAGATGAGTGACAGGTAAGTTTTGAGAAATTGTTATCGGATACATCAGAAACAAAAAGAAAGTATTTGACATTGTAAGGATTAATTAAGTTAAATGGGTAAGACATGGCAGAAGAGCTCCAAATCGTAGGCTGCTCTTTTTGCTCAATGTGGGAAGCCAGGCATGTTTCCAGTACCTGGGACCTGCATGTGTGCAAGACGTTTCTCCAGCTGCAG